GGGGGGGGGGGGTGTCTCCCACCACCCCCAGCCCAACCGTGGGGTTGGGTTACTGCGCGTCAGCGGAAAGGAATGCAATTAGGGCTGCAGGGAGGGAGGCTTCAAAGGGCTGAGAGGGAGCAGGAGGGCTGGGGTCGGGGCTGCAGGGGTTGGAGGCCACCCGGCCGTGTCCCTCTGCTTCCCCCCCCCCCCGCCCCAGCCACGTGTCCCCATTTGCTGCCCCCCAGCAGAACTGCTCTGCTCCCCGCTGCGGGCGTCCTTTAATTACTGCTGTTGGTAAATGCAGAGTCTGGAGCCAGCACGACGCTCCCTGACCTTGACGAAGCTGCTAATTACAGCTGGAGGCAAAGAGGGGGGCGGGCCCCGAAAAATTCCCTGCGTGGGCACCCGATGGCTGGGGAGGAACCCGAGGGGTGGCTGCAGGGCCCCTGCATGTATGACCATGGATGGAGCCTGGCTGGAGGCAAAGGCAGAGCGCGTTCTGTTAAGTCCCCAGCAAAGGCAGCTGGGAAGGGCCTGGATGGTTCCAGCACCTCAGGACTGATGCCCAAGCCCTCACCCAACCACCTTCCTGGCATCTCCCCAAGCAACCCAAATCCCAGTGCTGCCCCATGGGAAGAACAGCACAGCATGGCACCCCACGCTGCAAGGAAGGGCAGCACACACAGGGTTCTCCCTTCTGGATGAAGCTACATTTGCTTAGAGGATGCCCTGGGATGCTGGTGGGATGAGTCAGATCCCCCTGCAGAGCCCTGCGCGTCCCCTCCCCATCCTTCCAGCAGAAATACACTGCACCAGCAAACAAATCCCAAAACCCAACCAATGTTCATCCAGGAGAAAGCAGCACTGGGGGGGGCTACAGCCCTGTGAGGGGTGATGGGAAAGCAGCCAGGGAAACATTCCATCCCCTCCCCAACCCTATGCACACCTCTGGGGTGGGGGAGGGGGGCAGGGCAGGAGGATGGCAGAGCTCTGCCCTCGGGGACCCTCCATCCCACAAAGGGCTCTTTGTTGCCGCAGCCACCAGCAGCCATTCAGCAGGGAAGGAAGCCGCCCGCTGCTCCGCCGCTTTTATGAATGCAGTGTGGAGCTCAGCACCACTCTGGGCACGGCCAGGGGTTCTGCATCAATCCGGACACAGGGAGAGACCCCCAGCAGCCCCCGGCCCCAGCGCCGAGCAGGACCCCATAAGGGATGGCTGCAGCTCCGTGGCCGGGCACGCTGAGCCCCACTCTGTCACAGATCCCTCCCTGCAGTATTTTTCTCAGCACTTTCCCTTCGCGCTGCAGGGACACCCCCCCCGTTGCTGGGGAGATCTGCACCCCCCTTCTCCTCCCCGCCCCCATCGCCCAGCACAAAGCCATGGGGCCGGGTTGCTCCCCCCCTTCCCTGCATCCCAGCGCGGGGCCCCCAGCCCACACCTCGCCCCACATCTGGTTTTCCCATCTCCGTGACAAAGGGCTGCAGCGGCCCTTCCCCCTGCGCTGCGGCAGCGCCCGCCTGCCTCCATCATCTCCCCCGTCCTCCATCCATCCATCCATCCAGCTCAGCCCCTCACCGCCGCCATCCTCAACCTCCTCCATCCATCCTCCTCCTCCTGCTCAGCCTTCCACCATCCTCCTCTCCTTCCACCCTCCTCTTCCTCCGGCCACCGCCATCCTCCTCCTGCTTCCATCCCCCCTCCTTCCTCCAACCTCTTCCAGCTCAGCCTCCCATCACCGCCATCCTCCCTCCATCCTCCCCATCCTCCCCCTCCCCATCCTGCCTCCATCCTCCCCCCGTCCTTCACCTCCTTCCTCTATACCCCCTCCCCCC